GACAATGTATTTATTGTATTCCAATGATCATGACAATGTATTTATTGTATTCCAATGATCATGACAATGTATTTATTGTATTCCAATGATCATGACAATGTATTTATTGTATTCCAATGATCATGACAATGTATTTATTGTATTCCAATGATCATGACAATGTATTTATTGTATTCCAATGATCATGACAATGTATTTATTGTATTCCAATGATCATGACTCAACATTTAAGCCACTTATAATATTATTTATATTTACCACTTTGATTAAACAGGGCGGTGGTGTAAATATTAAAAGTAAAAGGTTATAAAATAGTGTTAGCTAATACTTAAACTATAAAGACCTAGAATACAGGGGGTTATTAATCTGACATCTGATTAGTCAGAATACAGTAGATGCTTTTCGATACTATAACAATTAGACTACAGTAGATACTTTCAGATACTATAAGAGTTAGAATATTGTAGATGCTTTAAGATGCTATAAAAATAGTGTGCACCAATCTGTTTATTGTGAAAGGAATCATGTTAATAACTGCTTCTCCAGCAATAACAATAGGTCATGGGGTCTATTGTAAATCTCAATTTCATTCATTACATACCTAAACTGGTCAGTGAAGAATTATAGATAAACTTTTTCATAAATTAGATAATCAAATTACTTCTTCTCCTCAGCTTCAAATCTGGGATACCGCCGGTCAGGAACGATTTAGAACAATAACTCAGAGCTATTATCGAAGTGCCAATGGTGTCATCATCGCTTATGATATAAGTAAACGAAGTACCTTTGAAGCTATACCTCGATGGCTTGATGATGTCAAGCGTTACGCTGGCTCCAATGTTGTACAGTTACTTGTTGGTGGGTCATCAATGGAGAGATGAATTCATTTTAATCATTATCTTAATTATTTGAAATAAGAAGAGACTCTTAGTTGAACAGTTTTAGACACTGTTTTATTTATATTGAGTCAAATTATGTTATTGTCTCTATATTTAAAGCTATGTATCTCACATATATCCTAAGATTAATTAAAACAATTTTAACTTTACAGTTTCCAGTGTACAATATGAGATTTCAACAAATTCACATCTTTTTAAAAGTTAAAAAAAAAAAGAAAAAACATACAAAATATCTTAAAATGCATGAATACTATTGCTTGCTTCTTTTCTTTCTCATTCACCAAAGGCAACAAATGTGACCTCGATAGTCTCCGTGAGGTCAACCGCGAGGAGGCCAAGTCACTGGCTCATTCCCAGAACTTTATTGGTGCTGTTGAAACCAGCGCTAAAGAAAACACTAACGTTGATGATACATTCCTAAAAATGGCAAAAGTAAGATCTCAGATTCATTTAAGTATCATGCATAAAAGAACATTAGAAAATTTAATCAACAAGGTTTGTGTTGAAATTAACCTGAACTCTTTGCTGAAATTCACCTGCACTCTTTGCTGAAATTCACCTGCACTCTTTGTTGAAATTCACCTGAACTCTTTGTTGAAATTCATGAGCGCTCTTTGTTAAAATGCACCTGAACTTTTTGTTGAAATTCACCTGCACTCTTTGTTGAAATTCACCAGCACTCTTTGTTGAAATTCACCTGCACTCTTTGTTGAAATTCACCTGCACTCTTTGTTGAAATTCATGAGCACTCTTTGTTAAAATGCACCTGAACTCTTCGTTAAAATTCACCTGCGCTCTTTGCTGAAATTTACCTGCACTCTTTGTTGAAATTCACATGAACTCTTTGTTGAAATTCACCTGAACTCTTTGTTGAAATTCATGAGCGCTCTTTGTTAAAATGCACCTGAACTTTTTGTTGAAATTCACCTGCACTCTTTGTTGAAATTCATGAGCACTCTTTGTTAAAATGCACCTGAACTCTTCGTTGAAATTCACCTGCACTCTTTGCTGAAATTTACCTGCACTCTTTGTTGAAATTCACCTGCACTCTTTGTTGAAATTCACATGAACTCTTTGTTGAAATTCATCTTAACTCTTTGTTGAAATTCAACTGCACTCTTTGTTGAAATTCACCTGCACTCTTTGTTGAAATTCACCTGAACTCTTTGTTGAAATTCATGAGCGCTCTTTGTTAAAATGCACCTGAACTTTTTGTTGAAATTCACCTGCACTCTTTGTTGAAATTCACCAGCACTCTTTGTTGAAATTCACCTGCACTCTTTGTTGAAATTCACCTGCACTCTTTGTTGAAATTCATGAGCACTCTTTGTTAAAATGCACCTGAACTCTTCGTTAAAATTCACCTGCGCTCTTTGCTGAAATTTACCTGCACTCTTTGTTGAAATTCACATGAACTCTTTGTTGAAATTCACCTGAACTCTTTGTTGAAATTCATGAGCGCTCTTTGTTAAAATGCACCTGAACTTTTTGTTGAAATTCACCTGCACTCTTTGTTGAAATTCATGAGCACTCTTTGTTAAAATGCACCTGAACTCTTCGTTGAAATTCACCTGCACTCTTTGCTGAAATTTACCTGCACTCTTTGTTGAAATTCACCTGCACTCTTTGTTGAAATTCACATGAACTCTTTGTTGAAATTCATCTTAACTCTTTGTTGAAATTCAACTGCACTCTTTGTTGAAATTCACCTGCACTCTTTGTTGAAATTCACCTGCACTCTTTGTTGAAATTCACCTGCACTCTTTGTTGAAATTCACCTGCACTCTTTGTTGAAATTCATGAGCACTCTTTGTTAAAATGCACCTGAACTCTTTGTTGAAATTCACTTGCTCTCTTTGTTGAAATTCACCTGCACTCTTTGCTGAAATTTACTTGCAGTCTTTGTTGAAATTCACCTGCACTCTTTTTTGAAATTCACCTGCACTCTTTGTTGAAATTCACCTGAACTCTTTGTTGAAATTCATCTTAACTCTTTGTTGAAATTCAACTGCACCTCTTTGTTGAAATTCACCTGCACTCTTTGTTGAAATTCACCTGCACTCTTTGTTGAAATTCACCTGCACTCCTCTTACATTATAAATTTAAAAGCTTTATATCATTTATGTAGTGCTTAAACTTTGTTTGGCTGAACAAGAGAAGTTTTCCAACTGGTGTATAATATTTTAAATCAAAACAACAGATGCCTAAATGATGATTTTTGGCTGAAAACTCTCTTAATTCTCTGCTATTAAATTCGTAGTCATCATATTTAAAACTTAGATAACATTTAGTTGTATGAACAATTATTTAGATAGCTTTTAGTGGTATTTAAATTTACACTTCTGATGATGTATAGTTTTCCGGTCATTAAAATAAATATGTGCCATTTTAATATAAGGGAATAGCTCTTATATACTTAAATTGAACAAAATCAAGCAGTTCAAGTTCATGGTGGTAAATTTTATTAAAATATTATAGTTATAACCACTCAAATAGCTTAAAAACATCACGTACCGTCAATAATTTGTTTTAAAATGTCGCATCGGGTCCTAAAATGTTATGATATGATTTAGTCTTTGTTTTAAATCATCAATTTAACTTGTGGAAATATAGAGTCATCTGAATAAACTCGACTCTTTAATAATCTTCAGGAACTAAAACGGAGGTTTGGAGATGACGCAAACATGGATCCAGGACAGAACAGCAGCATAAATTTGAACAGTCGCTCTTTGCTAGGTGGCGGAAAGTCATGGCTTCCATGCTGTGGCAGCAGTAGTTAGCTACCATGATGTAGCAGCTGTAGTTAGCAACTCCATTATTGTTCTTGTATATAAAATTTCAGCCAGAATCAATGATTGATATACCTGAAGAAAAACAAACAAAAAAACTAGTACTGATGTTCTTTATCATTGTTACATTTCTCTGCTGATGTAATTTGTTTCATTATTAGAGAACTGTTCGAGGAATGTGCTATATAAATTTGGTACAGGTCAACGTTTTTTTTTTTATTGTGTAACTGTTTGGTCAGTAAGGTAGCGGTGTGGTCAACAGGTAGTGGTGTTATCAGTCAGGCAGTGGTGTGGCTTGTATGATGTTTAGATTTTGTTAAACTAGTTATTTTAGAAGCTCGTGGGGGTTTATGTACATCAACACTGCAGTGGACGATTATTAGAGATTAGTTGGTCAAACTTTTTGTAAAGTGGACTCAATGTCCGAACTGTGACCACAGTCAATGTATCGCTTCCAACTGATGAATGTATCGCTACAAACTGACACCTGTTTAAGTTGGCGGATTTCATAACAGGTATCAAAATAGTCTCTGCTTAGCAAACTTTTACATTGAAATAATGGAATAAGTGATCAGTCTGATTATATTGATACAATTGTATTGATCAGTCTGATTATATTGACACAATTGTATTGATCAGTCTGATTATATTATATATTGATAAGACTCCTACTCGACCAGACACGTTGATAAGACTTCTACTCTACCAGACACATTGATAAGACTTCTACTCTACCAGACACATTGATAAGACTTCTACTCTACCAGACACATTGATAAGACTTCTACTCTACCAGACACATTGATAAGACTTCTACTCTACAGACAAGCATTAATATTTGTGATACATTGATAGCAACTGTTATTTAGTGGTCAGTAGCTTTACCTGTCATTTGTGGATGTTAATAAAACAGGGAGATACTACAGTATTTACTCATTTCATCAGCTTCACCCTTATAGATATGTGCTTGTTGATAGATATTGACATGTTCGTAGACATATGTGCTGGGAGCTGTATGTGCTGGGAGCTGTAGTGGAGTCCAGAGAAACATGACATTAGACATCTGGATAGAAATGGTAAAGGTGACTTCTGTAAAAATCTATGAGGGAAAGGCGCTTGTTAGCACCCTAACCCCTCCATTGCTGGCTTGAGATCACCCCCCCCTCCCCCTCCATTGCTGGCTTGAGATCACCCCCCCCCTCCCCCTCCATTGCTGGCTTGAGATCACCTCTCTGGACATGTCCTTAACAGAATAGAGCTGGGGAAACAAGGATTATTTGTTTAATAAAGTGTAATATCTGTAACAGAAGATTTATGTGCCATCCAATGGATGATCCATTTCATGTATGGGTCAAAGTGAGATGTGTAACTGAGTTAGGTAAATAATGCGGCGCAGTTAAGCCAGATGTGTAACTGAGTTAAGTAAATAATGCGGCGCAGTTAAGCCAGATGTGTAACTGAGTTAAGTAAACAATGCGGCACAGTTAAGCCAGATGTGTAGCAATTTAAATTAAAAATGAGTTTTAAAAGGTTTTTAAGACATAAAGGTGGACAACTCCAAAGAGAGTTAAGTCATGTTGTTGTGATGGGCTGTGGAGTTGGATCAACGTTTTTGTTAGCCTCTTAATGGCATCACATGTGTGTAACACATTTATGTACATGGCATCACATGTGTAACACATATGTACATGGCATCACATTTATGTGCATGGCATCACATGTGTGTAACACATTTATGTACATGGCATCATGTGTGTGCACCACATTTATGTACAGTTCTGCTTATCTATGTATATGTCTACGATGGGTATTTGTTACTGGTGTAATAGTAATATGTACCACAATACGTGAGTTTGAAAATTCCTAATACTGTTGGGAGAAAACAAATGACAGAACTATTTATTTTAATGCTGTTTTGTATATCAATGAGATTTAAGATTTGATGTCATTGTAAACTGTAAGCATTTAGATAAGTTTGACAGTCTTCTATAAAGTAGCATTAAATCATGGGATTGCAATCAATGGTTATTGTAATAGAATACAATGTCTATTTTAATATGACTTTCTTGGCATTCGTGAAATGTTTAAAACTAGTTAAATTTTGATTTAAACAACTCTTGATGACAGGTGCTAAAGTTGACATACTTTAATGACAGGCCTATCAGGTATAACCAGGATGGCAGAAGACATTTATACAATCCATTAATCCAGGGAGTCCCATGAACTTTGCCATGATTAAGATTTTTATTTTAAGCTTTCATTATATTCTTAGAATTCACCGAGGTTTTGTTCTACAACAGAATTTTTATTCACGGGTTAGACATATCTGAGAATTACTTTTTCTCTGTGTTCTTTGGCAATAAAATAATAGCATTTATATTTTATTGATGATGAATGGCTTTTCATGTTTTGCCTCATTTCTCATGAACTTAACACTTTTATCCAATCATTGTTTCAATATGTTACGTGGCTGTGAAAAGACATGTGTAAATTGAATACTTGATATCCATGTATCTCATCTTCTTGACGTCTGCTCTGCATCTCTTTATTTAATTGACCTTGACAGTGGTTCAAAACTTTGCTCATAACATTTTCAGATCTATCTATACTTGTCTGTCTTTAAATAAATGATTTTTAGATGTATTGTTTGGCTGGCTCTAAATATAATCATATCATTTTTAGCTATATCAAAACTTGGCTGTCTTTAAAAACATATTTAGCTATATCAATACTTGGCTGTCTTTAAAATTAAATATTCAATTGCTCATTTTTTAAATAAATGTTTAAAATAATTTTTTAGAATGCAGACCTGCTACTTCCTCAAATGCAAACTGGGCTCTACTTGCTACATGTTCAAATTCAGAATTTTGTGTAAACCCTGTTATCAATTTTTATCCATGAAAATAATTTTATTTACAAATGTGAGGAGCTTATTTAGCGCCCAAGTTCATTATTTCACTGGGTTTTTTGCTGTATAAACTATTTTTTATGAATTCATTCTTCTGATTTCTGAGTCATCTCCTTGTTAAGTTTTCAGAAATGTTATTTTTCAACAACAGGACAGTTTGTTTGAAGCTTATGTTCAAATCCTTTTAAAGGTGACCAGATTTAATCAAACGAGACCCTGCAATCAAACTTGGAGTGGATTTTAGTTTTGCAACATTCCTCCATCATGCCAGCTAACCATTGACTCGTTTGGATATATTGAGTTCTGCAGTGAGTACAATAAGTTGACATAAAAATGTTACAATTTTAGCATAACAGACATTCAAAGTATTATTATTTATGTCATTAATTGTCTAATATATATGGCATACAAACTTAGAGACTGGTGAGAACGTGTCACTTTGTCCAGTAGGACAAGATCAATTCCTCTGTGGCATCTGAACTTTGAATTTTTACAAACATAAGAATTATACAATACTATAATTTATAGTATTGGGCAGTTTGAGTTTAAGGTGTACTTTAATATCTGCCAGACACCAATACAATCCCTGGCACTCTTGTTGATGATACCCATGAACAGACAGGGCCTGCTTTACAGGACTTATTTCCACTTGCGCCAATATGTTTATTAGATAATTGTTAGAGAAACATTTCGGTTACAGGTATTGGAGTACCGCTAATTCGACAAGTGATGAAGAAATGATTTGAAAACAATGGCCTAAAATTGAAACAGATGTGGAAAATCTTTTGTGTTGAAAATTGGATTAGTGGCCTTTTATCCAATAGCTCTGTCTTGACATCTCTTCTCTATTTATAAATTTTGTAGACAATGTCAACATCTTGCATATATTTTTCATGGTGTCTTAGACATCAAATTTGTTCCTGTCTTAGCTGTTGGGGTTTAGACAAGCTATAGACTGAGACATCAAATTTTTTACTAAGGATGCACTTGGTTTCTGCCAAGTCCAAGCTGTTCATGTTGAGGTGACCAGTTATATAGCCTGAGACATCACATTTGTTTTTAAGAATCCAATTTTTTCTAAGACTTTTAAGTGTATTATATTTAAAACTATCAATTGTAGAGTTTTTTGACATTGATGTGATTTCAGTATGGCTTTGTCTCACCAGTTTCATAAAATTAAGGGAGAAGTTGATTATTTAAATTTCATTTTTACGGATTAGGAAAATTCCATTTTTTCTTGCTTTAAACATTTTTGTTGAAAAGATTCAGCTATTGAAAGATATGTTTATTTTGTTATGTTTTTGTTATCAATTTGTTACTTTGTTGTCAAGTTCTTGTCCAATTGTTTGTAAATGTAAGCTTGACAATGTGATTTCATTAAATCATTAATACTGTGCCTTGTTACTTGTCAAATTCATTTTTCAAATTTTATTTTAAAGTTGTGTCAGTCAATTAAAAACCTATAAAGCAGTTACCGTTGATTATTATTGTTACTCTTACACTAAAAAAAATTATGGTAATGACAAGTGAAAAATGGCTACAGGATCAAACTTATTCTCTCATGTCATCCTAACAACCGATAAAAACCTTTCCATTCTCCTCGCCAAACCTGACATCCAATGTTTCTAAATGTTTCAGAAGTGACAAGAATCCGCCAGAACTCCTTGTGCGTAGTCCCCTCCATGCTTTCCCTTCTGACTTTGGGTACAAGCCATGTGGACGCAGCTGTTTGCAAAACTTGCTGTTTTGTCATACAGCTTAACATATTCCCTTCCCTAAAGGTCTTTTTCAGATGAGGGTCGTTTTCCTTTGTACTAGCCGCAATGTTGTCTATCCCAGGGGTCGGGAACCTTTTTGTCTAAATATATTGAAAAGTAAATTTGTGAGAGCCATGGAAACCAAATATATTGAAAAGTAAATTTGTGAGAGCCATGGAAACCAAATATATTGAAAAGTAAATTTGTGAGAGCCATGGAAACCAAATATATTGAAAAGTAACTCTGTGAGAGCCATGGAAACCAAATATATTGAAAAGTAAATTTGTGAGAGCCATGGAAACCAAATATATTGAAAAGTAACTCTGTGAGAGCCATGGAAACCAAATATATTGAAAAGTAACTCTGTGAGAGCCATGGAAACCAAATATATTGAAAAGTAACTCTGTGAGAGCCATGGAAACCAAATATATTGAAAAGTAACTCTGTGAGAGCCATGGAAACCAAATATATTGAAAAGTAACTCTGTGAGAGCCATGGAAACCAAATATATTGAAAAGTAACTCTGTGAGAGCCATGGAAACCAAATATATTGAAAAGTAACTCTGTGAGAGCCATGGAAACCAAATATATTGAAAAGTAACTCTGTGAGAGCCATGGAAACCAAATATATTGAAAAGTAACTCTGTGAGAGCCATGGAAACCAAGTATATTGAAAAGTAACTCTGTGAGAGCCATGGAAACCAAGTATATTGAAAAGTAACTCTGTGAGAGCCATGGAAACCAAGTATATTGAAAAGTAACTCTGTGAGAGCCATGGAAACCAAGTATATTGAAAAGTAACTCTGTGAGAGCCATACATTCTGTTTACAACTAAAAGTTCAAGTAAAATCTGTGCATTTTGTGTCATTTCAACACTAAAAATGCAATAATTATGTCTCTGAATTCTTTTTTATAACATTGTTATGGTGTTGCTAATCAATAATGAGTATTTCTTACCATTAATGCGACTTCTTTTTATAATCGAACATTTGTCTGCGAGCCAGATGTAGCCATCAATAGCGCCACATATGGCTCGCCATAGGTTCCCGACCCCTGGTCTATCCCATTGTATGTAATGTACCTGCTGCCTGATGACGTATCTATTTGAAACAGGACGGCCTCTCTTGGACAGATGCATGGAACACCTTTGGAATATTGCGCAAGTTTCTTGCCAACACATCAGTTGTTTAGATGCGTCATTTTTTTAAAGGTTTTTTCCCATCCTTGTTTTGCATGAGTGGGGAGAACAAGTGTAAGAAGGGGGTGTGGGGTGGAGGGCATAGTGAGAAGGGGGTGTGTGGGGTAGGAGGTCAGGAGAAAACCATAACAAAATAAAATAATGGGTGGCGGCTACCCTTAAAATTATTTTAAATCACTGTTTCAATTTTTAGTCCTCAACTTCTCATGACCCAAACACTAAGTTATATTGAAGCTTGGGATACAGTTTCAGGTTGGCCAGACCATCTTCAAAGAAAGAAGCTGATACTGCTCTAATTTCTGTTTTAGAAATACAGGTACCTGAATTGGTTTCAGTGATTGAATGATTGATGCACTGCTGATACAAATAAAACAAGAACAGAGCACTCTGCTCTTCCTGGAAATAATTAAAATTGTTGGGCAAAATATTGGCATCATGTTTATGAAACTATTGAAACAAAATAAAGCAACAAAAACATTGTTGGTTTTATTTATATGGTCTATTGATATCATACCAATCAATTCACTTACTAAACAATAAGTTCATTTTTATGTCTTCAACAATTTTATGTGTAAACATTAGATAAGATATTGTCCATTCTTATAATATTTATTCATGTAGCAGTAGCAGCCATGAGTTATTAAAAACTAGTTAAGTTATATGATTTTCATGTAGCAGCCAAGAATTGTTAATAACTAGCAACTTTCATAATCTTATTGCAAATTATTGAGTACCTGAAACAAAAATATTCAAGTTAAATATTTAATTTGAAGTAATTTTTAATAAATTTAACGTGGGGTTTTTTTTTTTGCTTTTTTTTCTTCATTTTTCAATTTGTTTGTTGACACTGCTCCATATTTCTATCAATTTGATACTGCTCCATATTTCTATCAATTTGATACTGCTCCATATTTCTATCAATTTGATACTGCTCCATATTTCTATCAATTTGATACTGCTCCATATTTCTATCAATTTGATACTGCTCCATATTTCTATCAATTTGACACTGCTCCATATTTCTATCAATTTGATACTGCTCCATATTTCTATCAATTTGATACTGCTCCATATTTCTATCAATTTGATACTGCTCCATATTTCTATCAATTTGATACTGCTCCATATTTCTATCAATTTGATACTGCTCCATATTTCTATCAATTTGACACTGCTCCATATTTCTATCAATTTGATACTGCTCCATATTTCTATCAATTAGACACTGCTCCATAATTCTATCAGTGACTAGTTTAGGCCTTGTAGACTTAACGTCGAAATTTGCCAATTAGAACTTGGAATGCTTAACATAAAACCAGTCATTATAAAAACATGAAGTAAAGAAAATAACAAAATGAAAACAGGAATTTAAAAGTATAAAGTGTCTTTGTATACCGCAACTATAATATGTTTGGATGGAACTTATAAACAATTTAAAATAAAGCATCACTCCCATGGACATCCATTGTGGATGGGCCGGATGAGTTTTAAAACAAATGAAATATCCAATGTCTTTTCTCTATAAAAATCTATGTACACATCAATACTGTATAGAAAAATTATTTCCAATAGGGTCAAGTTATATTCATCGGGTCAAATTATATTCATAGGGTCAAATTATATTCTTAGGGTCAAGTTATATTCAGGTTAACCAAGAATATCTGGAATACACTGTACCCTGATTAGAATACTGATCATAGTTTGTCTCTTTTAAAAATGATCAGAGACAAATCACCTATCATATTATCACCAGCCATAATGTAAAAGATATGCAGTAGGACACCATGTTATATATTATTGTACATAGTAAAAAATAATTAGAGTTAGAGGAATGTATAAAAAAAGAATACCTGTTGCTTTAAAGTCTCTATAAATTATAAAATGAAGTGGTTTAGGGGGAATCAGTAGTTAAGGTCAGCAGCAGTTAGGGTGAATCAGCAGTTAGGGTGAATCAGCAGTAAGGGTGAATCAGCAGTTAGGGTGAATCAGCAGTTAGGGTGAATCAGCAGTTAAGGTGAATCAGCAGCAAAGGTCTGTGGGGGCTTGTAATGAATATACCAGAAGTAAAACTTGTATAGTTTTAAAAAGTTTACATCTTCTGTTTGGCAAAGATCTTTGAGGGTTTTTAATGTTATAACAGCAGTAAAACTTTTTAGGTTTAACACACATATGTTCAAGTTTGTAAACAAACTCTTTCTCCAAATAAATGTATATAATAATGTAAAGAAATATTCAATACACTTAAATTCATATAAAAAACTTTAGTCTAATCAATTTAAGATACTAGAAATAAATCAACAAGTTAACAATTTTCTTTAACAGTTTCACATCAGAAGAAATGAAGAGAATAACATTGAGATTTGGACTTTGTTAAAATAAACTGTAAATAACATTAAGAAAATACACTGTCAATAACATTGACAATTGGACTTTGTTCAAATACACTGTCAGTAACATTGAGACTTGGACTTTGTTCAAAAAAGCTGTCATCTAAAAGTTATAACAAAACAATTTCAAATAATTAAAGTATTTGTATAGTACAGTTATCAGCAGTTCAAAATAAAAGTTTTGTATAGTACAGTTATCAGCAGTTCAAAATAAAAGTTTTATATAGTACAGTTATCAGCAGTTCAAAATAAAAGTTTTGTATAGTACAGTTATCAGCAGTTCAAAATAAAAGTATTTGTATAGTACAGTAATCAGCAGTTCAAAGTTTGCTTGAAAAAATTAACTAGGAAGACCATTTTTATTGCTGGCTATTGAGTGTGCTACAATGTGTAGTATCATAGGGGCCAGATACTATGACTATGCATAGTAGCACATTTCAAATATGATGACTAAGATATTTCATGTAGTTCTTCATATGAAGTAATCTATTTAGAGATTAGCTCTATTTTATGCGGGAATATAAGGGGAGGTAATCTAAGGGTTGGGGAGGTAATCTAAGGGTTCTAGCTAATTTTATTCTTTAAATTGGTGATCAAAGTAAAACTTCATAGGAAATCTAGACAAGACAGTGTATTACATCAAATATCAAACATGTCTTGAGACAGAAAAAAAAACAACAACAAATCTTCAAATAAGATTGGGAAATAAAACAATGAGCATTACTTGAAGATACTTATTTCTTAAAATTACTTGAATGTATTTGTATGTTAAAATTACTTGATTGGAGTTTTATATTACATAATTAATCGACTACAGTGGTATAATACAAAAGATGTACAGAATTGATCCACACTATTTGGCATTATTTAACAGTAAGTTTTTAAGTACATGATAGGGACAGTGATTGATTGATCTCTCAACATGGCC